GAATAACGGATGCCTTTTTATGGTATATATCCTCAATAGAGAGGACGAAAAACGCAATCATATGCAGGATAGTTTGATTTGAATACAGCTTTGTAAGATATTGTAATGAGAGTTTTATCCGACGTTGATTAAGTGATTGCTCATCAGCCTCCACATACAGACTTTGGATAGGGGATGTTCTGAAGGCTCCAAGGCAAAGCCTCAGCCCTTGGTGATGAATACTATCTAATACTTTTAAATTAATTTTATAGGCTCCACCATAGGTGATGGAGCCATAGTCCAGTTTAGAGCGGATAAGTGCTCTATACAGTTGGAGGAGAGTTTTCTGATCCCCGACCCACTTGGAATTTGAAACGACTTTCAGAAGGTCAAGGGCCTTCAGGCATTTATTTTTCAAAAATTGTATGTGAGGTAAAAAGGTCAGATGGTGATAAAAAATAATGCCCAAGAACTTGGCTTCTTTTACAACTTTAATAGGAGTGCTATTCAAAACTAGTTCTGGGTCTTTATGGGATTTGTATTTTCTATAAAAATGTATGCAATTCGTTTTTGATTTTGAAAATTTAAAACCATTTTCTAATGACCATTTATGGATTTCTTTTAGACATAACTGTAGTTGTCTTTCTACAGTACTCATACTTTTACCACCACATGAAATGTTAAAATCATCCACGAATAGAGATCTATCAATGGAATCATTTAAATCATTAGTTAGTGTTTATTTTAATACTGAACAATGTGACAGACAAAATACTGTTTTGTGTTATCCGATCTGGGTGGATTTTTATAGGGCAAGAAATGGGGGAACGCATGTGCATTTCAATTTGCACGGAACTCACGTGCATCGGGTTACCATGACCGTTGCCGCGATGCGTTTGGGCGATTGGTTTTATTGTCATCTGATTTGTTTTTTATCATCAAATTTCACTTTTCCGGACAAGGTAATGTTAAATTTTAGAAACTTTGACAAAAATTACCCAGATATTAAAATGACATCTATTCATGCAATGTTACTTGAGGTGAAGTTTCTTTTGCGGTTCAGTATATATCTAAATTACGTTCTTTGAAATCCAACCCAGCCTATGATTGTGTTTTTACTCCTCTGTATGAAGACCTCTACAATAACAATGCATCACTTATTCCGCCACTTGGCATAGGACTACAATCTTCTATTTCTACAGCAAAAATAAACCTAGAAAATAAAACTTTTAACTTCCCCACCTTTGCTGTCAGTACACAGAGGTGGATCTAACCTTAACTAAATTAAAGAATTTATCAAGAATCAACAGGAATATAATCAACTATGAAACAAATATGATACTTAAAAATCTGTATTGACAGATGGATCCAAGGATGGTGACGCAGTTGCTAGTACCACCGTCATTGGATCCAGGACTATATCATCTAGAATACCAGATAACTGTTCCATTTTTACAGCAGAATCAAAGGCTTGGTAACAGCATTAGAGTACATTTGTCAATCAAAGCATAAACAATTTAGTATATTTTTCGACTATCTTTCTTGTCTTCAGGCAATTACAAATCAGTCTACCAAACATCCACTTTTAACCGAAATTCTTGAATTATATAATGAACTTGCTACTGGCCAATGCGACATCGCTTTTTGTTGGTTACCCAGCCATGTTGGAACTACTAGGAACACAATGGCTGATGCTGCTGCTAAAGCAGCACTCAACAAATCTGTGACACCACTTCTTATTCCATACACTGATTATAAGCCAGAGACTGGATCATTTATCCGAGATCTGATGCAGAAAGAGTGGGACACCAAAGTTGTGTTAATACATGAAATTACATGAAATTATACCAAATATCGGTTACCCCCTACTTGGGTTGTCAGTCCAGATTTGAAAAGGTCATTTTACGACGATTTCGTATTGGACATTCTCGTAACACCCATGATTTTTTGTTCATATTTGTGAGGATCCTCCGTTTTGTATCCCAGTGAAGCATGTCCTCCTTGACTGTATTGATTTTGCCATCACGAGGGATAACTATTTCAAATCATCATCTCTTAAGGATCTTTTAAATAGTATTAGTTCTCATTTAATTATTGGCTTTTTAAAAGAAATTGAACTTATTTATAAATTTTGATGTACATAGCTGTTTCTTAAATTGGTAGTGTGTAATTGTGAACTGAGATTGTTATTGGCTCTGCCCTTGGGGGTTAAATTACTCTAAAAATTATTGTCCCCGAGAGAGTATAGTAAGTCCATACCATTCAAAGTACGTCATTCCTATCATAGTTTTTATCGTAGAGTGTGTGTTCTTTTAAATTTCGGCTAAATTTCCTTATCGTCTCCAACACCAGAAGGGTTGATGTAAATCCTGCTGGGGTCCATGCAGGAAGCTTAAGTACTGTAAGTCCCCATGGTCCTTGGTATGGTGATGTAGCTGCAGATGCTGGCGATCTATAGCTCGTTTGTATAATGTATTGTTCTGTCCAGTGATTTATTTTTATGGTTCAATGCTAGTTTTAAATCATAATCTGTGATAAGTCGAGTTATTTTACTGTCCGTTGTTGACAGTTTCTTATAGCTTACATGTATTTATTATAAAATAACCTTTGAAAGTCACGATATGGCTGAAATACTGCCGATATGACTTTAAGTTTTAACTCACTCACTCAGTCTTTGATGAAGAAATTCATGTAGTGGTGCTTACATGCAATGGTCAGACCCTTTAAGACCCGGGGTAGAATAGGTCTTCAGCAATCCATGCTTGTCGTAAGAGGCGATTAAAGGGCTCGGATGGTCAGGCTCGCTGAATTGGTTGATGAATGTCATCGTATCCCAATTGCGTGGATCGATGCTCATGGCGTCAATCTCTGGATTGTCTGGTCCAGACTCGATTATTTACAGACCGCCGTCATATAGCTGGAATATTGCTGAGAGCAAACAAACAACAGACCAACAAACAAACATAACAGACCTTGGTGTACATTTTACGATCACAATCTCGTCTCTAGTTAAGAGCAGGCAATACTGTAGCTACCAGGTGTCGACTGATCTTATTTATATACAACAATACAGTTGTGTTTATTACACCACTTCATTACCTTTTCATGTGTCTGTATACAAAAACATTACTGTTGGTCCGAAAACCCGTCCAGACAATGCCTAATTTCAATGGAAACATGTTTAAAAGCAGATGTTACCACGTCCGCATTTCAATGCAATTTAATTTGACGTTCTATTCCTGTAAACTATCAGGCAGTGTCTGCCTATTGTAGTATACTTCCTGTTATATATAGTGATCGATAATTTAGTGCTGAAAGGATAATTCTGAATAAATGTTTGTATATTCCCATCTATTAACAAAGCAAAAATATTTTGCATACCAATTATTGATTTGCAACGTTCCTAAATATGCGTGCGTTTAATGTAGTATGATATGCGGCGATGTTTTAATACAAGGTGTGTATGGTTATGTATCGTTTGTAGTCTGAATGGGTCTGTGAGAGCGACGGTGTGTTTTGATCTCACCGCCTGAACATACACGATGGGTGTGATCAGCGAGCAGGTGCTGTTGGTCGTCGTGATGGCAACCACCTCAGTGTGGGGTCTTGAGATGTACATTTCCAGGGGAACTCACTACCAAGTAGGTCTGGATGTGGTGAGTCCAACTTTTACCAACTACCTATGTACTGTATTTCTTTGTTAATAGACCCGTGAAGATTCCGGGGTAGAATAGGTCTTCAGCAACCCATGCTTGCCGTAAAAGGTGACTATGCTTGTCGTAAAAGGCGACTAACGGGATCGGGTGGTCAGACTCGCTGACTTGGTTGATGCATGTCATCGTATCCCAATTGCGTGGATCGATGCTCATGATACATCACTGGATTGTCTGGTCCAGACTCGATTATTTACAGACCGCCGTCATATAGCTGGAATATTGCTGAGTGCGGCGTTAAACAACAAACCAACCAACCAAATCTTTGTTAATATTACAGAGAAACGTTGTCATTCAGTTAACTGTACCAATTTTAATATTTATGCTTGACATTATTACTAAATACATGAGTGACGTACCCTGTATCTGACAGACCGCCTCCGTGGTCTAGTGGTAGAGTGCCGCCCGGAGAGCGGAAGGTCATACCAAAAGACTTTAAAAGATGGTACTTGTTGTTACCATGCCTGGTGCTCGACTAAAACAAGGACTGGCCGGCTCAAAGTCAGAATACTGTGTCTGAGTGGGGTATTCATGTTTGACTGGGGCATGGTATCTCAGTGGGCTAGCACTTTAAAATCGGCAAGTACAAGCAGCCACACACAGATGTATGCACATCGTTATGTAAGTGTAATAATCTTGAACGAGACGTCAATCCCCATTTCACCTCACCTCACACCCTGTACCTGACTGAGATGAGGATCATGGTGAGATGATGGTGTGATGGTGGTATGATGGTATGATGGTGGTGTCATTGTGGTTTGATGGTGGTTTCATGGTGGTGTGATTGTGGGGTGATGATGGAGTGATGGTGATGTGATGGTGATGTGATGGTTGAGTGATGGTGCTGTGATGGTGGTGTGGTGGTGGTGTGATGGTGCTGTGATGGTGGAGTGATGGTGGTGTGATGGTGTGTGATGGTGGTGGTGTGATGGTGGAGTGATGGTGGTGTGATGGTGTGTGATGGTGGTGGTGTGATGGTGCTGTGATGGTGGAGTGATGGTGGTGTGAGGTGCGTCACTTGGCTACGCCAGAAACCTATGCTTGTGGGTTCGAATCCCGGTTTGCCCCGATTATGTTTCTAGGTTTGTCAGCACAATACACATGCTTGTAGGTTTCACCTTTTTCACGTGCCACACTATTTCAAATGTATGTATTGCATATGGGCCAGTGGCCTTAGTACAAATAAAAGACTTCACCAAAGTGGTATACGTCTGCGAACTTGCATCACCTCAGGCTTTCGTCCCACATTAAGCTGACACTCTTAACTAGAATACTGTTCAAAATGTCGTTAAACACAACTCACTCACTCACTGTTATTTATATATGAACATTAAGTAAAATTTGGATTTTTGGTGATCTATGTTCTGTAGGCCTATCTTTGTATTATATCTTGTACTGTTCCAATGTATTCAGGTGATCTAATTTTTCGCTGTTGCTGCAGGTGAGCTATCTGGTGGTGCTTACGGGTTTAACGTGCACGGAGTCGTGCTCACAATGAACGTCGTAAGACCGGTGACTGTCGGTATCGGCGCCGTTCGTAAGTTCCTGTCTAATGCTTACTCTTTATCTAACAGCGGCACGGGTGGCCCAGTCGACTAAGGCGCCGCGATTCGCTGTGCAGAGTTGCGTCCCATAGGCACGCCAGAAACCTATGATTGTGGATTCGAATCCCGGTTCGTCCAAATTATGTTTCTAGGTTTGTCAGCACCATACCCGTGCTCGTGGGTTTCACCGAAACGTAAACGTCTGAGAACCTGCATCACTTCGGGCTTTCCTCCCACATAAAACTGACACGCCGAGATATAACTGTAATACTGTTAAAAGCGGCGTTAAACCGCTCACTGTTTCTGCAAGAAAGTCCAGCGCTTTAATAAGTGTACACCAAATGCATCTGTGGGAGATACACTTTATCACTCACTTTATCTAACAGAACAAGGGGGCACGGGTGGCCCAGTCATCTAAGGCGCCGCGATTCGCTGTGCAGAGTTGCGTCCCTTGGGCATGCCAGAAACCTGTGATTCGGGGATCGAATCCCGGTTCGCCCCGATTATGTTTCTAGGTTTGGCAGCACCATACCCGTGCTCGTGGGTTTCACCGAAGTGGTAAACGTCTGAGACCTGCATCACTTCGGGCTTTCCTCCCACCTTAAGCTAACACGCCGTGATATAACTGGAATACTGTTAAAAGCGGCGTAAAACCCAACTCACTCACTCACTCACTCTAACAGAACAAAGTCGTCCCAAGTGTTAAAATCATCCCGGAACTACTATTAGCACGACTGGGTGACGGTGTTGACAATTTCTGGTGGTTTTATTTTTTTAAAAACTTCGATTATTATGCTCTCATGTGACCCGACAGCGACTGTATGATACTTGGCTATAAATATGTGACAATGTGTTTCAGCTTGCGGTTTAGTTCTCAGGGCCGCAATGGCAGTGAGGAGTCAAGCGGAGCTCGAATCGCTGATACTGAGCGAGGGCACAGGTGTAGGGTATGGGTACAAGTAAGTTCTTGATGGGGAACAAAAGAACGTTCTAGAATGGCTAATATATGGTCTAGATTGTATAGATCCAGTCGTTAAGCCCGTAACTATCGTTCGGAATACCCCGTTTTAACGTTTTCGAGGCTGCATGATTAGAAATCACATTCCGACTGTCACTTTCATGATCTGGTAAGCGACGCTCTGATTGGTCGGATGAAAGGTCGTTCTGACATGACCCCTATTGGGATGTCCTCAGATCTTTGTTTAGCGGTAGCGAGAAATTGAAGTAAGAACGATAGTCATATGGAACTAATTTTAGCGGCTGTAAAGATTTTAGTAAGCTCAGTGTCAGCGCATAACTGAATTATTAGCAACATATATCAAGTATGCCATGACAGCTGTTGACAGCGGTGAGTGAAGTGTTGAAATTAGACTTACCTCCCTTGTATACATGACCACGCAGACCTGATCGTTCGGGAAGTTCTTGATGGGGCACTTTCTAGGAGACAAGCGGTACTTACAAAGGAGCGATTCGAGGGCTTTTCGAAATTAACTTGTTTCTAATCTTGGATACATATTTATGAACGCCGAATTCCTGCCAGTATCGAACACAGTTCTGGATTTAAGGACGGGGAAATTCCAAGACATACGACAGTGTCAAAATTTCTGCACATTTGCGAGTGCACATGCACATGTATTCCTGTTACCCCTTTCTGTAAACAGGGGGCACGGGTGCCCCAGTCGTCTAAGGCGCCGCGATTCGCTGTGCAGAGTTGCGTCTCTTGGGCATGCCAGAAACCTATGATTGTGGGTTCGAATCCCGGTTCGCCCCGATTATGTTTCTAGGTTTGGCAGCACCATACCCGCGCTCGTGGGTTTCACCGAAGTGGTAAACGTCTGAGACCTGCATCACTCGGGCTTTCCTCCCACATTAAGCTGACACGCCGCGATATAACTGGAATACTGTTAAAAGCGGCTGTAAACCAAACTCACTCACTCACCTACTCACTTTCTGTAAACATGTGTAACATGTACTCCTGCGAGAGAAGGCATTATTGGCCAGACAGTACATACAAAACATTTGATCAACTATCATCTAAACCTGTGACATTTTTGTATAAAAGTTTTAGCTTCAGCAGTCTGACCAAGATTTATATCAAAACTATTTTATTTCGTGGGTTTTTTTTTTTACTCAAGCCTGTCACCTAACTTATACAATGTCTGTGTATGGCAGCCTGAATTACGGCAACACACAAGACGAGGTCCAAACACTGGTCAGCTACGAGGTGGCTCCTCTGGAGAACCAGCCCCGGGCCATGGTCAGCAAATACACTGTGGGGTGCGAGGGGGTCAGCAACAACACCAACACCACCGGCCGATACTTCCACTTCAACTTGTAAGTACATGTAATCCACAACCTCCCTATTCACATCTTCTGAGGAATGATGGTATTTGAATGGCCCGCCACAACGAAGCTGACGGGGGATATGGAACGGGTTGTATATGTTAAAAATCGGTCAATTTGTAAATTTATAAATCTGATTCACTCATTTAAATAGCCCCAAAGCCACATTTGTCACTCTGAATCTGCACAGAACTAAATATGAAACAGATGAGGTGGTTTCACTGGCCCTATGACGTCTAGCTTAGGTGGGTAAAGCAGTGTAAGGGACTTGGTGATTTGACCATTATTAAACGATATTAGATAATCGATATATCTGAAGCTTAACTTATTTAATCTAAATTTGGAAAATCCGAGCGGAAATTGGATACAAGGGCTTAAAGAAACAGATCCAAAATGTGGATGCCTACTTCTTGCCGAAATGTCTTAACCCCAAATTCAATGTTGTGAAGTAGTAGGTCCAGCATTTCACAAACTGCTTTCTCAGACGAAATTTGCTTTCATGTTTGATAGATTGCCCTGAATCATTGACGATAGAGATCTAATTGTATCTATGGTACACAAGGGCCACATGTTTTGACAGATATGGCTCTTGTCTGAGATTGCAAAACTTCAAGTGATTGGTATTAATTCCACGTTTGTGAATATAATGAAATGCCTTCCTTGATTGTAATTTGGATTATGGGTTAATCTTTGATATATAAACTGACGAAAAGGAAGCACTATCTCTTAAAAAATTAATATAAAAATTTCTATCAATGCAAAACACATCTTCCAAACAATACAATGCTCTTTGCAGAAATTGATATACGTCCAGAGCTCGTTTGTTTGTGAGAAAATGCGAAAATGTGAAAAACACGTGCCGCTTCGGCAGCCGAAACTGCACGTGTAATAAGGGTATACAAATGACTGACACACTAACAACGCGAGCCGACCCTTGGTATGATACAGACGGGAGCCACCCATGCCCTCATTGTCAGATCTTTTGGTTGATTCCGTGTTGCTGTAACTAACCTGATGCAAGGTTACAGACGGAGCGGGCAGACATCAGACAGGCCACGAACAGGAAGAGCTAGGGTAACTACGCCCAATGAAGGCCGGTACTTGCATACTTTGCATTTCCCGAATCGATTCTTTACAGTAGCGTTATCAGCGACGAATGCCTTATGCCAGAAATTTAACAGCTTTCTACAAAAGTTGCCATGTGGTGTCCATTTTCAGCATGATAATGTCAAACCCAATACAGTCAGAATCGTACAGAACTTCCTTGCAGCCAACAATGGTCAACGTGATGCCTAGGCATGAGCGCTAACCAGACATGTCACAAATAGAACACCTCTGGGATGCCATGGATCGACGTGTTCGACCGCGACCACGACCTTGAGCCAACCGACAAGAACTGATCCAGGTCCACCAAGAAGAATGGCGACGTATCCTACCTGACGTCATCAGACGAGTAACGTTTTCTGTGCGAGTTTTTGTGTGTCTTGATGCAGGGGGTGGTTATGCACGCCATAAAAGTGACGTGCCATTGAACGATTTGAGATGTGTGTGCCCTTTGTCCATTACGCTGAAAGCTGGTTAGGCTTCCCCACCTCAATTCGGGAAAACCTGACATGCCAATATCGGATGTTGTATGGCTGCCATTCTAAATGTTGATTTTATTGAGATTTTTATCTTTTCAATGCATTTTACTTCACGCATCTATCTGGGGGTTTGTTAAACTAGAGTGATTTAAATCTACGGCACAGTTTCTTTTTGCCGTCAGTCTATATCTTTGTACGGATTTCTGTGGAGCTTTGGAATGGATATATCTTCAGGTTCTGGAGTCAAGTCCAAAGTTGCTACTACTAAGTTCCAAATATTGGTTTTGGCATATTTTTTCCTCAGTTAACACAATGGCCTTCTGTGTGGTAATATTTATTCTACCATGACATTGAAGAACGCTTTATTCTGATTGGCTAAAAAAGGGTTTCCTTTTTGCTACGGACGCCCCTTTAAAATATATTTGCCGGGTCTCTTATACAAGCCAGGTCTCGAATACACGTCTAGTCAACGACTCTCGCGAAATTAATAGACGGCCTGGTGTCTAATAGAGGAAATACGGTAGTTTGATATCAAATATTTCTGGCGACGATATGGTGTTCTAGGCCGTAATACTGACTGCTTCGATGAGGAGATTACAAGCCTTTACAAAGGCATATATTTTGCACAGAAATGAAACATCCCGAAGCCACAGCACAGGAATTTGATCATAACAACTTGTCAAACTTGATGAATTTCATTTCAGAACACGCACAATTAGGGAAATCATACACGAACCACTGTTTCTGTGCTACAACTGTCCCATTTCTTTTACATGCTGGCGGTGAATACGTGAAATCAGATCAAATCAGGTTCTGTCAAAATAGAGTCTGGAGCCTAAAAAGGGGCTGTTCAGTCATACTCCAGTTCCATTGGTAATCACATTGTACCAGCAGGCTCATTTCCAGTAAATCGACAGGTTAATGGTAAACGTATCACAGATCTGGGTTTTTTATCCTGCTTCTAGTAACTTGTCCGAGGAACGGAGAATGTAAACAACATTGGCAGCCATTATCAGATGTGAGGTATTAATAACCGTGATGTAGGTCATGATCAAGTTCTGCCACATGGGGTAGAGAGGCATTTGTTTCGATGTTTTTATTATTTACTGGGGGTATTTTCTAACTAAGTAATAAGACATAAGAATAAATAGTACAATGTTAATTCATAAAGTTTGTTAGAGAAATATATTCGTTACTTTTTTTTAAAGTATTTCTACAACCCGCACCCCTACAATGGGAAATAGCATATTCGATTTCCAAGAAATGAATTGCCTCGCTTTATAAAGCGCTCGGTGCTAAATTTCAAAACACAGTAGGTTTATCTCCTAAATATGTCACTTGTACCAAGTTAGTCAAACAGTTAATGTATTGATGCTTTCACATACTGGTTATATTATTTAAGTGAGTGAGTGAGTGAGTATGGTTTTACGCCGCCTTTAGCAATATTCCAGCAACATCACGGCGGGGGACACCAGAAATGGGCTTCACACATTGTATCAATTTCAGGAATCGAACCCGTGTCTTCGGCGTGACGAGCGAACGCTTTAACCACTAGGCTAACCGACCGCCCCTTATATTATTTAAGGCCTTGTTAGTTGGACCAACTAGAAATCTTTCATTTAGGACTGCCAGACTTTGGATGACAGCTGGCTGGGACAGAAAGGGTTGACTTAAATTCTGGTTACCTCCTCCTACGTTTTAAATGTAAATATAACTGTTGCTCATAAACCTATATATAGTTCTGACGTGCCTTCTGCTATCCAGATATATTGTTTTTAAGATTTGCGTTTCTATGGCAATAAATTGAACTGAGATTCAAATTAGGTTTTCATTTTGTGGAATATAATTCATAAACCATTCAATATTTCTTGATGAAACTTTGTATGCACATCAGATAGTATATATATTACAACACTGTTTGGAGTTCGGAGATAGGATAGGTCCAAGGCAACCAGTGCCCATTTTGAGGGGTGACTAAATGGATCAGTGGTCAGGTTTGGTGTCTTGGCTGATTGTGTGACATCGTACCCTGACATTGTTTCCTATAATGTGGTTGGTTTGTTGTTTAACGCCGCACTCTGCAATATTCCAGCTATATGACGGCGGTCTGTAAATAATCGAGTCTGGACCAAACAATCCAGTGATTAATATCATGAGTATCAATCCACGCAATTGGGATTGATGACGTGCATCTACCAAGTCAGCGAGCCTGACCACCGCCTTTTACGACAAGCATAGTCGCCTTTTACGGCAAGCATGGGTTGCTGAAGACCTATTCTGCCCCGGAATCTTCATAATGTGGTGTTAATTGATAAACAAGCAACATCTTATCAGGAATTTTAATTATTTTCTGCTTTTTTTCTTTGAGAAACCCGACTTTTGATAATATTACATCTTTACTAAATCACATCATTGAAAGGTATAGACATTTTTTTATGAGGACAGAGGGAATTATTACGTGTTGTCTCATCATGAACGTTTGATTCTGACAGGGCCTTTCATAATGGCGGGATGTACCCAGAAGCTATATATAAATATATATATATATATATATATCACAGAAAATTGTGTGATTTCATGATCATATTTGAAAAGCCGGGCCCGTGATACTGATATCTGCTTTACGCCTCCGTCAGCAATACTCTAGCTATATGACGTCGGTCAGTAGTTGTTATTTGATAGCGACCAGTGGTTATTATTTAATAGCGACCAGTGGTTATTATTTGATAGCGGTCAGTGGTTATTATTTGATAGCGGTCAGTGGTTATTATTTGATGGCGGCCAGTGGTTATTATTTGATAGCGCCCAGTGGTTATTATTTGATAGTGGTCACTGGTTATTATTTGATAGCGGTCAGTGGTTATTATTTGATAGCGGCCAGTGGTTATTATTTGATAGGGGTCACTGGTTATTATTTGATAGCGGTCAGTGGTTATTATTTGATAGCGGCCAGTGGTTATTATTTGATAGCGCCCAGTGGTTATTATTTGATAGTGGTCACTGGTTATTATTTGATAGCGGTCAGTGGTTATTATTTGATAGCGGCCAGTGGTTATTATTTGATAGCGGCCAGTGGTTATTATTTGATAGCGGCCAGTGGTTATTATTTGATAGCGACCAGCGGTTATTATTTGATGGCTTGATCAACGTCTCACGCCTCCTCATCTCCCGTTCAAGTTGCCTCTTACGACAACCAAAAGGCACTGGCGGGGACCTCGTCCAAGATATACACTTCTGTATACGAGAACAGAACATTCGGTTCGAGCCACAACAATACAACACTGCCACGACAACTGAAGCTCGACCTTCATGACCTTCATGGGCACTGAAATACTGGAATACTCGTGGAAATATCTCCTTTCCCATGTCACTCGATGAGAGAAACATGGAATATCCTTTTTATTATATATTTTTGTGTACTTGTCTACTGAGAAAATTAAATGATGTCATTACAAATGTGAAACCTTGAAACGTAAATTATCCCTACCTTACACGCAGGGACGTTTCGCCACCCTTTGATATGGCGACTTAAAATATAGTTTCAAAAAATATTTCAGGTCAACAAAATTATTTATCATACATTTGGATATTATCATATACAAAATCAACCTAGCCACAAAATATTCTTGAAATCTACGAGGCCGCTGTCAGCGAAATAACACAACCAGGCCAAGTAGCAAAAATGGCGTTTTGCAAAACGAACAGTCTCACTTGACGACTTTAATGAGAACTTTAAAGTTTATAACGAAGCGTTTTCACCAGAATTACTAACGGCAAGAAGCGATAGTAACTCAATAAATGACATCTCTCATTAGTTTGCCTTGTCAATGTGGAACTAACGTAAAAAAGGAAGTCAACAGTTAGTGTACGTCATATAGTACCGTCAGATCAGAGTGTTATGGTCACTGCAATGAAATATCAAGTGTTGTTTATTGCAATGAACATATCACTTTTCTGAACTTCAGGAAACTCCGTCTTTCACACTGAAATATATATTGATATTAGTCTGACCTCGAGTCTTGAAGCAATGAACGGAAACATATTCTGTTTCTAACAGGAATGTAGCAAGACAATTGTCAGGTGTTCAACAGAACAAGCACGGGAACATATGGTACAAGTCAGAATAGGAACTTGCATCAGGCTTCGTTTTAGTCACTGACGCATCAAATTTGGAAATGTCCTACACCTTCCTGCCATAAAACATTTTAAAACAAATTCTAAAGATTTTTAATAAATGCCACTTTACTATACAGATACAATCACATGGATGTTGAGCAAATGACATCACTGATGATCAGTTCCTACCACCGCCAAGCTCGTGTCGCCCAGTTACCGGAAGTCCGGTTCCTTGACGACATCCTGTACGTCCTGGGTGACACATACGACACCGACTACCCCATCTACAGGACAGCCAGACCGCCTGACGTGTTCTCCACTATAACCACAGGTACGAGTAACAGACATATTTCCAAAACGAAAAGAGTAATGTAGTGGTGAGGTGGGGTGAAATTGGGTTTAACGTCGCGTCCAAGATTATTGCACTTATATAGCGACGTGCATGTGTGTGTGTGTGTGTGTGTGTGTGTGTGTGGCTGCTTCTACCAGTCCGGACTGATGCCGATTTATAGTGCTAGCTCACTGAGAAACTATGCCGCAGTTTAACAAGAATACCCCACTCAGACACAGTATACTGACTCCGAGCCGACCAGTCCTTGTTTAGCCCCTTAATGCCGAGCGCCAGACAGGGTAACAACAAGTACCATCTTTTTACGTCTTTTGGTATAACGCGGTCGGGGATCGAACCCCGGACCTTCCGCTCTCCTGGCGGACGCTCTACCACTAGACCACGGAGGCGGCCAAGTAATGTAGTACAACAATGAGTACCTATGAATGAAACATGATGCGATTTTTTATGTGATGCTTGCGCCATTAACGTAATTTGATTCAGAAAGTATTAATGGTTGTTTTTTTATGTCTTTCCATTCTAGCTCTCTTTGACCTGACCTACTGCAATCTGTATATCTACGTGGATAATCCCTTGACCGGAAGTGGACCTATTATGAACTTGACGCTTCCAGCAGGACCCCAGTGTCCATGACCTTCATATATATATGGTGCAAGTGTTGCAGCCTATGCTGGTCTAGTCAACTGAGGACCAAGGGGGGCGGGATATGAGACACCTGTTTATTTCCTCTATGTAATGTAGCTGTTTCATGACACTCTGTAATAACAATAAAATAGGCAATAAATATTCTTAAACACATTCCTCTGTCACATAAATATATAAATCATTTAAAATTTTATTCCCGAATCCCTGAATATGTATTTAATGATCTGCAGCATTAGAATTTCATTATAAGTTAAGCACGTTAACTCATAAACAAAGCTATATATTACCTACCAGCTGAACATAACTGATAGTGTACGAAACATGTATACAGGTGTAATAGGCATATATATATTTCAGTCTAAATGCATATTGTATATATACACAATTTGACATTTGCATGTGGGCATAATAAACGAAACAAACTATAACAAAGGCATACCCTGTGGGTGACACGGGAGCGTCGCTCTCGGTCTGAGTGGCGGCCAACCCTTCCAGTATGTCGTATGCGTGAGTGAGTGAGTTCGGTTTAACGCCGCTTTTAACAGTATTCCAGTTATATCGCGGCTTGTCAGCTTAATGTGGGAGGAAAGCCCGAAGTGATGCAGATCTCAGACGTTTACCACTTCGGTGAAACCCACGAGCACGGGTATGGCGCCGACAAACCTAGAAACATAATCGGGGCGAACCGGGATTCGAACCCACAATCACAGGTTTCTGGCATGCCCAAAGGACGCAACTCTGCACAGCGAATGGCGGCGCCTTAAACGACTGGGCCACCCAGTATGTCGTATGCGGTAGCCTACATGATAAATAACATTCACATACTATCAAACATTTTTTTATCATGAATACACAACGCAGACAACAAATATATTTCCTAAATAGAATTATGTCCATATTTACAATATTCCTGATTAGTACATATCAGATAATAGTCATACAGATAAAGTTTACAATATGCATTTAGATTGAAATAATGCACAGCCATTACACTGAAATCTAACACATTGTTTCATGAACCCATTCATTACATTCATGTTCACAAATCACTAACTATTTACAATATCACAAATATTAGATTACGATAAGTTATTTAAAGCAATCAGTAAGATTAATATACTTTCAGACAATCGGCTAAATTTAGTACGTAATGATATTAACTAACCTGTAGACTTGTACTGTGATGAAGTGCAGTGATATTGACAAATGATCAGAGGTGTTAAGATGGCGGGTGACATAGATATTTAAAATCATCAATGAAGACAAAGAACTTGCCTTAAGCCCTTTGATCAAGACAGTAAAACAATTATACTAAAATGGAATAACCTGACTACCCTTAAAACAAGAATGAACTGACCCTATAACCTGATTAAGATATGACAGTAATATACCTGAGATAGGGATAGACAGACAACTAATTATAACACTTGTTGTAAACAAGTAGTAGTCTGTTGAACAACCCAATGAACATATATACAACGCACAATAAAATGTAATTGGTACTATTGTCAAAAAAGGTTGATTTTATCCCTGTTACATAAAGAGGAAAAAAGCTACAATAACATTAATGGCCAGAATATAGTTATAAATAACATATATATTTCCTTTTTGTTTTTGTTTTTCTTCTGTGTCCTTCATCAGCATTTTTTCACTGTTCACGAAGCATCAATCATGGAACGGCAACACTTCCTCTCATCTCTCAACTAAGCTGACTTTTGGAATAGCGGTTTCTACATATACATTTCCTAGAAACTGAGCTAATCGATCTGTTGTATGTAGACTTTCCAGTCAAACAAGCGTAAGACAGTGTTAAGTCATTTGTGTTAAATTTACAGGATCGTCGGTGCTAGCTCTGTGTTTGTCAGAAGTTTAAACGTGAGAATATTCGTGCACATGCGTGTTCCACGTGGAAGTGCTCAAGCCTGTCTTTTTATATGATCATTCAAATCAGTCAGCAATGATTTCTTCATCCAAACAGTGAATAAGTGTCAGAGTTTATTAATAACACAGAGGATTCATCTTGTCCTGTAGTTCTGTATGTGGCTCGGCAAAAATCCATAAATTAGAACTCAGTTTAAATATCACATAACAAAACACTCGTGGTGAATTCTATTTATCATCCCAAACTGGCTCCCACAGGAGATATCGCTTGGATGAGATCAATGAAATTACATCACAATGCTTTGCAGACCATTGTGATGTCACTGGTTACCATGACATCACAATCAATGACATCACTAATGGCTCTGCTACTGAAGCTGATAGCAGTACTTTTTACACTGAAGACCCTGCTAATTACTGTCTACAAATTGAAAAAGTTGGAAGAATTATGTTGGATGATAAATAAAATCTCGCCCTCGTGTCTTTTGATATCAAATATATCAACACTCGTAGATAAAAGTGGAAAAAATCCTCGGCAAGCCTCGGAGTGTTCCCGCTTTTATCGACTCGTGTTGATATATTTGATATCAAAAGACACTCGGGTGAGATTCTCTATTTATCATTTTCACCTTTTCGTTTCCCAGTTACATCGATATTGTTGGAATCAGATAGTTCATTATACATAGACACGAGAAGTAAAACTAACCCTAACCCTGCACATAATCCCTGCACATAAACCCTGCACATAACTATGTCTGGGCCGATTTGATATGGCTCTTTGCTTGGTTGACACCAATTTCTGCACCGTCCAGCAGTACAGAGCCACCAACAAAATCAACACTGACATTGAGATTATGTCCCACATCCTTGGCTCGTTTAAGAAAACTGTGGAATGCCTTGTTTTCATCATGCGTCTTGACAAGCTTCACAAGAGGATCATCAGACAAATAAATGTATGAAAAGAGCAAAATACAGTTCTATCATGTAGCGCCCCAACCTTAATCAAACCACGCCCTCACATTATGATTGGTAAATATAAGCGTTTGAGGGAAGAGCGAGGGTGGTGGGATCTATTGTCTGACATGATTCTTCGTGTGAGGGTGTCAATACCCTGAATTTCTTGTTGTTGTTGTTGTTGTTATTATTATTATTATGTCTCATCAAAAGGCTACTTATTTCCGTGAGTGAATATGGTTTGACGCCGCCTTTAGCAATATTCCAGCAATATCACGGCGGGGGAGACGAGAAATGGGCTTCACACATTGTACCCATGTCGGGAATCGAACCCGGGTCTTCGGCGTGACGAGCGAACGCTTTAACCACTAGGCTACCCGACCACCCCGCTACTTATTTCAGGTCAGAATGATTGTGACAACAAACAGTAGTAATCATGTCAAGATCAGGACACCTCGTATTATCGGGGTGGGTGGGCTGTTGAGAAGGAGGCTTGCGGCATGGAAAAAATGGTTTATACTCGGTCTGCCACCCCTCCGTAAGGAATTAACAGTAGCGGTGTCTTTCCAATTAAAGGGGGCTTCTCAGGTCACCACCAGCTTGGGGACTGTCACCAAAGTGCGCGTGAACTGATTTCGTAAAATTGATAAGGAGAACATCGTTCACGCTAATCACTGAATTAAATAGAAAATGATATGTGTTCACTGCTATGTGTGTTTAGTGCCATGTTAATGGTATCTAAGCATTACAATGTCATGTATCATCCAGACGACCCCAAAACGGCCCTGTTACCCACATCCCTTCCCCCACCCCGCAACCAGCCCCTGGACCCATCCCTACCACCCTTCCCAACCACCCCATCCACCCAAACACAACAACCACTGATCCCACCCAGGTCAGCCATCCCTATCCCTTCAAACCAAACACACAGAAGAAAGCTCCAAGCCACTTACAAAACACATTCAACCAGAAAACAACTGCTAACACTCAAGACAGTACCCTCACAGATAGTCACCCCCCAGAAACTCCACTCAAACATAAACAAACTGATAGAATTTCTGTCAGCAGCCATCCTACTAAAAAAAAACACACCCAAGAAAGTACCCTCCCTGGCCTTGGTCTCTACCCTCTATCATAAGTCATTTCAGAACTTTCAGGGAGCCCCTAAGGCACTTTAGTAAATAATTTAAGCTACCCTACCCATCATCTTCCAAATTAAGCCCCCACACCAATTACCTCTATTAAAATCCCATTCTATTCTAAAACCCGACAATGGTGTTTATTCAGTGATATTGTAATGGAATCACCTCTAATAGACATGAGCTTAAGGCCCTCATTGCCCTAAACAAAATTAAACCCGTAGTAATTGCCGTCCAAGAAACCAAAATATCACCAAAAAGAGCCTTCAAAATTCCAGGCTTCAATTTTATTCGGCAAGATAGACCGCGACCCACTAATTTCCCCGGTCAGGCTCGCTGACTTGATTGATGCTCATGATGTCAATCACTGGATTGTCTGGTCCAGACTTGATTATTTACAGACCGCCGTCATACAGCTGGAATATTGCTGAGTGCGGCGTGAAACAACAAACCATCCAACAAACAAACAACGACGCTGCTCCTGTGTGTAATCTTGTTTACATATTGATAACAATCATAACCTGTTAACAACGAGTCAAACTCTTCAAGTGTTTTTACATCCACCACAACCACCACCCACACGCCCACACGCCCACAAACCCACACGCCCACACACCTCACCATCAACATTTTAGTGGGGAATGGTCATAACGTATTTCATCCTTGTAACACAAAGTTATTTCACGTCGTTGTGACAACGTCCATGGTAGTACACAGAATAACGTTGTAGGGACGCATTATTAACATTGCCACAACGTAAAATACAACATTACGACAACGTCAAATACAACGTTGTGACGACCTGAATATGACGTAACACAACGTTAGGCCATGACGTTGAGTCCACAGAATAACGTTATATTGACGTAACATTCCCAACGGTACCACAACGTAAACACAACGTTATCACAACGTTGTCACAACGTGAAATTGTTAGCTGGGTGGCCACCCACCCCTACACCACAACCACAACCACAACCACAACCACAACCTCCATCTCAACCCAACCCCCATCCACACACACACACACACCACCCCACCACCCCACCACCACCGCACGCGCACACCACATACACTGTGTATGAGAAATGCAGCATGAATTAAAGACCCAGACCCGGCGTGTATGAGAGACCGGGCGTGTATAAGGTGAGGTGAGGTGAAATGGGGTTTAACGTCGCGTCCAAGATTATTGCACTTATATAGCGACGTGCATGTACGTGTGTGTGTGCGTATGTGTGTGGCTGCTTGTACTAGACCGTACTGATGCCGATTTATAGTGCTAGCTCACTGAGATACCATGCCGCAGTTTAATATGAATACCCCACTCAGACACAGTATACTGACTCCGAGCCGACCAGTCCTTGTTTAAGCCCCTTAATGCCGAGCGCCAGACAGGGTAACAACAAGTACCATCTTTTCACATCTTTTGTTATGACGCGGTCGGGGATCGAACCCCGGACCTTCCGCTCTCCGGGCGGACGCTCTACCACTAGACCACGGAGGCGGTCGGGCGTGTATGAGAGACCGGGCGTGCATGAGAGACCGGGCGTGTATGAGAGACAGGGCGTGTATGAGAGACAGGGCGTGTATGAGAGACCGGGCGTGTATGAGAGACAGGGCGTGTATGAGAGACCGGGCGTGTATGAGACACCGGGCGTGTATGAGAGACCGGGCGTGTATGAGAGACTGGGCGTGTATGAGAGACCGGGCGTGTATGAGAGACCGGGCGTGTATGAGAGACCGGGCGTGTATAAGAGATCGGGCGTGTATAAGAGACTGGGCATGTGTTAAAGACACAGAGTGTACTTTATATCAGTTCACGTGGAATAATTTATTCATGACCGATTGAACTGAACAAAACAAGGTTAGTTTAAACAGTTAACCGATTATTGATGTATTGCAAAGATGTGAGAAATTCATCTGCTTTGTATAGCTGAAAGTGTTAAAACATTTACATTCAATAAAATCGAGTCGATGCATCTTCAGCCGATAAACCAAGCGTTCTACTGATCAAAGGGTCTTGTCGCCCAAGAAGGCAAACAGGCATGTTCTTAGACTTTTAAGACAATGGACGGGGATCTGTTTAAAGTCTTGCCGGGGTCGGTAGCACTCGAGTGCTGAAAAGTAGTTCTTTTGTCCAGATAATGTATACAGTCAAACACCCTTGTGTCGAAGTTGAAGGGACCTACGTAAAAACTTCGAGTTATCCGAAGTCCGAGACAACCGAACATGATACATAAATAAGTAATACACAGGGACCAAGCTTTTACTTCGAGACAACCATAAGTTCGACACATCAAAGCCCGATACAACAGTGTGTGACTGTGCACGTAGGAAATGTTATTGCCACAATCCGCGACGAGGCGACAACATATACCGCCCTGAAGAATTGTGACGTTTTTGGAGATTACTTTCAGTTGAATGATTACCTCGTATGCGATACAGTGCTCGGCTGGAATGTTGGCCTTTCCTTTTTAAGCGGCCATAAAATTTCCGAGTCCCGTGATGGGATTCGAACCACGGACCTTCTGAACCGAGGTCTGACGCTTTGTCCACATGACCAAAGAGGTTGACCCCGTCAGCAAGCTGACAAGGTAAGGATGTCATCTGTAGGATGACTCCACGCCCTGCTACACTTTTACTGTATGGGCGTTGGCTAACTTGGGAATTTTTGTAGGTTTACGCTTACCCCAGATTGCGTGTATTTTGCTGTTTTAGCGTTTGGGGTTTTTTTTCATTTAGAGATTTGCAGAAGGTCTGTCTTTTTAGAATCATCTGCGAGCTGTCTTACTTTTGTCCTGGCTGCTCGGACTTACATGAAGGCTGATTTATCCATTTTTGACCTACATGTGTATTTAGGGCTGACTTTTCCACTCTCCTAGCCTTTGCTATTTCCCCGTTCCACCATAGTATCGGAGTTTTGCCAGTTTTGTGGTCTGTTTTTTTAATTGTTTTTTCAGCTGTGGCAATAATTGCTGAGGTGAGATTTTGGAAGAAAAAAAAGATTAGGATTATCCGAGGCAATTCCTGAGGATTTGAGTGATATACATTCCTTCTGAATTTAGGCAAATCAGCCTTTGCATAGTCCCATGTGGGCTGAGGAATGGTCTGTTCCTCTAATTGTGGTGGGCTACCTATGTAGGTGAGTGTAGGAAGGTGATCGCTTCATCATGGACTTGCCATTGGCAATGTAAGGCGAGGTTGTTGGTGGCAATTGTGAGATCAATTGAACTCCGCGTGTGGACATGGTCATAACGTATGTATTGCCGTTGTTCAGAGTTATGAGATTGTCGTCCTCAACCCATTTCTCTACCATTTTGCCGTATTTGGATGAATCATTCTTGTCTTATCATAGAGCACCGTGGGCATTAAAGTCACCAAGGATTATCCCATTTTTGCCTACTATTTGAGCTAGTCTCGGTAGCTCTTCCGTGTATGTTTCAACAGTAACCCTGTGGTATATGTTAGTAAATCATTGTCATTTGCCAGTTTGACGGAGATTACTTGTCTTTCAAGGTTTCCTACGTTTCATTCCATATGTTTTAGGCACAGCTGTCGTGGACAAGGGTGATTTGTCCTACTCCCTTGTTGCCAGGCATAAGTCTTTTAGCATAAGTCTTTTAGCACTAACTTGATAACGGCGTTGGAACCTACACCGAAACGTCGCTCTTAATTGTAATAAAGAAGTTGTTCATCCATAAAGTTGTATCCTTACTTGGTACTCCAACTTATAAATGCCTATCAAAGAAGTTATACGTGACGACAGGACTGACTGCTGGTGTTGACATGGGTGAGTTGCACTGGGCATTATCGCAGGAATAGTTCGTCACGGGTTTTCCTCATTTCTGGTGGGCCGGACAGATACTATTAACGTGATGGTGGCTTTTTGCTTCCTTTCACGATTCACAATATCTCAAACCCTTAATAATATTTTCATTTTTCCAGTTTCAATTTTAATGTTACAGCAAGGTATTATTAACATGGAGGCTGCCATGTGGCCAGTAGGCCGCAGTAATACAGAAGGCTTGTGTGATGGGGAGTCTCCGGAAAGTTCTTGGTGAGCATTGCTTCCTGTGAGTCAGTACGATAAACACATCTTCAACATATTCTGTTTTCTTCGTCTATGAGCAAGTACTAATCAGCGACCTACGAATCGCCAATATGCACAAACCATTTCACAAATAGTTAAGTAAAAAAGAGGGCTATTTAAGCTTGGCAATAACTGAAGAAGACTGTTGCACTGTGTGACTGCTGTGGCGTCTCATCTTTGTAACATGACTAATTGGTCGTGAAATTGTCAGTCTTTTCATCGCAACAGTCCCTTGAAAAAGTAAAAGTATCGATATTTGACTTAAGATTCCATTGTGCAACTGGCTGTTTGATCTCTGAATTTCAACATTGTCAGGTTAGGAATATTAAACTGTAATAAATAACGAAGTATTGAGTTGTTTCAAATTTAAAGTTCTTAAGCTAAAATACGACGAGTTTCATCCTGTAATTGATTGAGTATGAATGTACGCCGCTTTTAGCCATATTCCAGCAATACCATCAACCATTGTCCATGTGGGGAATCGAACACGGGTCTCGAAGTGACGAGCAGATGCTTTAACCATTAAGCTAACAAACACCCTATCCCGTAGTCGCCTCTTACGACAAGCGTGGGTTGCTGACAACATATTCTTCACAGGTCAGGAGCTACACGGCTAGATTACGTGTATCCAGTCTAATAATTACACATACAATTATACATACAATTATACATACAATTATACATATAATTATACATATAATTATACATATACGTCACTCTTAGCATCAATCCAACTGTAGTAGAAAATGGGCTTGACACATCAAACCAAAGACCCAAGATCATAGAAGAGACGAGCTATCCCAAACGTTAGTGTGAGTATTGCCTTTCGGCGTTTTTAGCAATATTCAAGTAATATCACGGCGGGGACACCAGAAATGAGCTACACTCATCGTACACATATGGAGAATCGAACCCGCGTTTTCAGCGTGACGAGCGAACACTTTAACCAGCAGGCTACCACGCACACCTCCCGCCACTTTCTGATTTATATGTCCATGTTGTTTTTGATTTGGTAGATGTACCTGCTGTGCCTGATTCGTCAGTTGACGTTCGATGCATTGTTCAGAACATTATGACGTCCTCACAAGTTGAAGAATATGCTGACGTCAGCAATGTTTCCTTGGAGGACTCGGTGTATAAGTGAGTGAGTGAGTGAGTTGGGTTTAAGGCCGCTTTTAACAGTATTCCAGTCATATCACGGCGTGTCAGCTTAATGTGGGAGGAAAGCCCGAAGTGATGCAGGTCTCAGACGTTTACCACTTCGGTGAAACCCACGAGCACGGGTATGGTGCTGACAAACCTAGAAACATAATCGGGGTGAACCGGGATTCGAACCCACAATCATAGGTTTCTGGCATGCCCAAGGGACGCAACCCTGCACAGCGAATCGCGGCGCCTCAGACGACTGGGCCACCCGTGCCCCCTCGGTGTATAACATTTTCTTTCTCAGTTAAACTATGGCTTAATATAGAATTACCCAACTGTCGCTCTTGATGTCGTTGTGCAAGCTCTCTCATGCATCCCTTTTAACCCAACTGTACCTGAGACCAATGTTGCAAATCTCCTCTGTTCAAAGTAACTTGTAAATGAAGACTTTCTAGACAATGATGTGAATAGTTACACATCAACGATCTAAACCTCTTTGATATAGTCAGGTTCTCTTAAAACGAAGACGCTCTGTGGGATGGTCTGCGGCTATGACTAGCGCCATAATCCGGTAGTCGGGAAACTGCGCGCTTATTCCTGCCTAGACTTCATCATGGACGGCATCGGCCTCACCGTCAACAGTTCTGTCTGGCGACTACTACTGCTGCTGGTCCACGCTTGTCCACATGTCACGTGTATGTATATGGCTCACATGTTTACACTTAATATTGAAGTAGCTTTTGTCCGTAGAACTTCTCTTCTGAAGTAAGGGGGGGGGGGGGGGGGGGGGGGGGGGGGGGGCGGTCGGGTAGCCTAGTGGTTAAAGCGTTCGCTCGTCACGCCGAAGACCCGGGTTCGATTCCCGACATGGGTACAATGTGTAAAGCCTATTTCAGGTGTCCCCCGCCGTGATATTGCTGGAATATTGCTAAAAGCGGCGTAAAACCACACTCACTCACTCACTCACTCTGAAGTAAGGAGTATGTTACAGCTTGACAAACGATCTGGCAGCCGTGTTTAAGGTGCGCGTTTATGTCTCTGCAAATCGTTTTATGTTGATGATAGGCACTGTAGTCCAGAAATAACTGTTCATTGCACATTTTTTAACCCCGGTGTTTGATTTGATCCCTGAAAACAAATATGTTTTCATTTAAATCGTTCTGTAATGTACAGAGGGTAAGCTCCGTTAATAGTTGAGATGAGTTGTTGCGTATGACACGTGTTATAACTGACACGTTCAGGTCACATGTGACACGTGTTCTACATGATATGTCGTGGCCACAAATGACACGTGTTGTACATGAAACGTTCTGACCAAATGGCACGTGTTATACATGACACGTTCTGACCTCATGACAGTTGTTATACATGAAACGTTCTGACCCACATGGCACGTGTTATACATGTCACGTTCTGACCTCATGGCACGTGTTATACATGACACGTTCTGACCACATGACACGTGTTATACATGACACGTTCTGACCTCATGGCACGTCTTACACATGTCACGTTCTGACCACATGGCACGTGTTATACATGACACGTTCTGACCACATGACACGTGTTATACATGACACGTTCTGACCTCATGGCACGTGTTATACATGACACGTTCTGACCACATGGCACGTGTTATACATGACACGTTCTGACCACATGGCACGTGTTATACATGACACGTTCTGACCACATGGCACGTGTTATACATGACACGTTCTGACCACATGACACGTGTTATACATGACACGTTCTGACCTCATGGCACGTGTTATACATGACACGTTCTGACCTCATGGCACGTGTTATACATGACATGTTCTGACCTCATGGCACGTGTTATACATGACACGTTCTGACGACATGGCACGTGTTATACATGACACGTTCTGACCACATGGCACGTGTTATACATGACATGTTCTGACCACATCGCACGTGTTATATATGACACGTTCTGACCACATGGCACGTGTTATACATGACACGTTTTGACCAGATGGCACGTGTTATACATGACACGTTCTGACCACATCGCATGTGTTATATATGACACGTTCTGACCACATGGCACCTGTTATACATGACACGTTCTGACCACATGGCACGTGTTATACATGACACGTTCTGTTCTGACCACATGGCACGTGTTGTACATGACACGTTCTGACCACATGGCACGTGTTATACATGACACGTTCTGACCTCATGGCACGTGTTATACATGACACGTTCTGACCTCATGGCACGTGTTATACATGACACGTTCTGACCTCATGGCACGTGTTATACATGACCCATTCTGACCACATGGCACGTGTTATACATGACACGTTCTGACCACATGGCACGTGTTATACATGTCACGTTCTGACCTCATGGCACGTGTTATACATGACACGTTCTGACCACATGACACGTGTTATACATGACACGTTCTGACCACATGGCACGTGTTATACATGACACGTTCTGACCACATGGCACGTGTTATACATGACACGTTCTGACCACATGACACGTGTTATACATGACACGTTCTGACCACATGGCACGTGTTATACATGACACGTTCTGACCACATGACACGTGTTATACATGACACGTTCTGACCTCATGGCACGTGTTATACATGACACGTTCTGACCTCATGGCACGTGTTATACATGACATGTTCTGACCTCATGGCACGTGTTATACATGACACGTTCTGACGACATGGCACGTGTTATACATGACACGTTCTGACCACATGGCACGTGTTATACATGACATGTTCTGACCACATCGCACGTGTTATATATGACACGTTCTGACCACATGGCACGTGTTATACATGACACGTTTTGACCAGATGGCACGTGTTATACATGACACGTTCTGACCACATCGCATGTGTTATATATGACACGTTCTGACCACATGGCACCTGTTATACATGACACGTTCTGACCACATGGCACGTGTTATACATGACACGTTCTGTTCTGACCACATGGCACGTGTTGTACATGACACGTTCTGACCACATGGCACGTGTTATACATGACACGTTCTGACCTCATGGCACGTGTTATACATGACACGTTCTGACCTCATGGCACGTGTTATACATGACACGTTCTGACCTCATGGCACGTGTTATACATGACCCATTCTGACCACATGGCACGTGTTATACATGACACGTTCTGACCACATGGCACGTGTTATACATGTCACGTTCTGACCTCATGGCACGTGTTATACATGTCACGTTCTGACCACATGGCACGTGTTATACATGACACGTTCTGACCTCATGACACGTGTTATACATGAAACGTTCTGACCTCATGGCACATGTTATACATGAAACGTTCTGACCTCATGGCACGTGTTATACATGACACGTTCTGACCTCATGGCACGTGTTATACATGACACGTTCTGACCACATGGCACGTGTTATACATGACACGTTCTGACCACATGGCACGTGTTATGCATGACACGTTCTGACCTCATGGCACGTGTTATACATGACACGTTCTGACCTCATGGCACGTGTTATACATGACACGTTCTGACCACATGGCACGTGTTATACATGACACGTTCTGACCACATACATATAATACACGACACATTCTGAAGCCCTTTAGCAAGTCAGTGTGGTTCAATCGACCATGTGCTTTCTAAGAAGATTTCAAAGAACGTCATACGACTCTTGCCCCAAAATCTTTGAATCGGGGGATATTTAAAACCAAAAAAGCAACACTGCAAAAACAATGCATACAAACACATCTCACCATTATTCTCACATGTGTTGAATTTGTATGCCCGTTGTTTAAAATCTACGGACAGTAAAGCTTATTTCCCTATATTTTTCCTTGTTTCCTTATTCGTTGCCATCAGTATATATATATTATGTACAGATAACCGTGAGCTTTATGCTACGCTGTGTTCAAATGACTGCAGGAGGCACGGGTAGCCCAGTCGTCTAAGGCGCCGCGATTCGCTGTGCAGAGTTGCGTCCCTTGGGCACGCCAGAAACCTATGATTGTGGGTTCGAATCCCAGTTCACCCCGATAATGTTTCTAGGTTTGTCAGCACCATACCCGTGCTCGTGGGTTTCACCGAAGTGGTCAACGTCTAAGACCTGCATCACTTCGGGCTTTCCTCCCACACTAAGCTGACACGCCGTGATGTAGCGGCGTTAAATCCAACTCACTCACTCACTCACTCACTCAAATGACTGCACGATGTCTGATGTATGGTGTGTACTTTTGACTGGGCGCTGTATCATGCATGTCGCCTGCGTGCGCAAAAGGGTATATTACGTATAACCTGTTTATGGTATATTTTGTAAAACTGGGTCGTGTGCAGTACGTTAGTGTCTCATAGGCCACGTAGTTCATGTATGTTACGGCATGAAACTCCGTGTTTCTGTGTATAGTAATATGTGACACTTAAATAAACTAATCCTCTTCATAATGATAAGCTACCTGTGGAGGAACGTGGTCTTTACTGAGAGGCGATATGATGTCACCTGGGTATCCGAGTACCTACACCAGCGGCTCGACATGCATTTACAACATTACAACGCCCTCTACCGAGCAGAAGATACAGATGAGATTTAACAAACTGGACACTGGCCTGTACGACACGTTTCAGGTAGGATGTAGATGAAGCTCCCCCTGCCATATCATGTTGTGGTCGACTTTTCGGAGTCCGTCCTCGCGCGTCACGCTGGCAATTACTTGTGAAAAATAAATTCGGGTAAGATTTTAAAAAGGCAAAATGCTCGCTGAACATGTTCGATAAAATAAAAAGTTTGTTGAGTGAATACAAACTCAAATTGTTCGGTTCCTTTCTGATATAGACAATGTAAAACTTGCCCCTAACAATCATCCAGGCAGCCGCCTGTGCTTTTCTCCTTTTTGGATGGAGATTGACAAATTTAATTATTGATTGTTTTCTGACAAATAGCAAATGCTGTTGTCTTACATTGTGAAAGTTAATTATGATGGCTCAAGGTCGATAATTAGACAGTCCCTCCCGTAAGACAAGTGAAGGTCGATAATTAGATTGATTCTCACAGGAGATAGGTCAAGGTCATTGTTAGTTCCTCCTAAAAAACAGGTCAAGATCGATAATTAGACTGATCCTCACAGAAGACAGGTCAAGGTCGATAATTAGACTGATCCACCCGGAAGATAAGTGGTGGTCGATTATTAGACTGTTCCTCCCGGAAGACAGGTCAAGGTCGATAATTAGACTGATCCTCACAGGAGACAGGTCAAGGTCGATAATAAGGCTGATCCTCACAGGAGACAGGTCAAGGTCGATAATTAAGACTGATCCTCACCGGAGACAGGTCAAGGTCGACAATTAGACAGTTCCTCCCGGAAGACAGGCCAAGGTCGATAATTAGACTGATCCTCACAGGAGACAGGTCAAGGTCGATAATTAGACAGTTCCTCCCGTAAGACAAGTGAAGGTCGATAATTAGACTGATCCTCACCGGAGATAGGTCAAGGTCAGTGTTAGTTCCTCCTAAAAAACAGGTCCAGATCGATAATTAGACTGATCCTCACAGAAGACAGGTCAAGGTCGATAATTAGACTGATCCACCAGGAAGATAAGTGATGGTCGATTATTAGACAGTTCCTCCCGGAAGACAGGTCAAGGTCGATAATTAGACTGATCCTCACAGGAGACAGGTCAAGGTCGATAATTAGGCTGATCCTCACAGAAGACAGGTCAAGGTCGATAATTAGACTGATCCACCAGGAAGATAAGTGGTGGTCGATTATTAGACTGTTCCTCCCGGAAGACAGGTCAAGGTCGATAATTAGACTGATCCACCAGGAAGATAAGTGGTGGTCGATTATTAGACTGTTCCTCACAGGAGACAGGTCAAGGTCGATAATTAGACAGTTCCTCCCGGAAGACAAGTGAAGGTCGATAATTAGACTGATCCTCACAGGAGATAGGTCAAGGTCATTGTTAGTTCCTCCTAAAAAACAGGTCAAGATCGATAATGAGACTGATCCTCACAGGAGTCAGGTCAAGGTCGATAAATGCGCCATCGTCATTCGTACTGTTGGGGCGGTCGGGTCAAGGTCGATAATTAGACTGATCCTCACAGTAGACAGGTCAAGGCTGATAATTAGACTGATCCTCACAGAAGACAGGTCAGGGTCGATAATTAGACTGATCCTCACAGTAGACAGGTCAAGGTCGATAATTAGACTGATCCTCACAGAAGACAGGTCAGGGTCGATAATTAGACTGATCCTCTCAGAAGACAAGTGAAGGTCGATAATTAGATAGTTTCTCCCGGAAGACAGGTCAAGGTCGATAATTAGACTGATCCTCACAGGAGACAGGTCAAGGTAGATAATTAGACAGTTCCTCCAGGAAGATAAGTGTGGGTCGATAATTAAAACTGATCCTCATAGAAGACAGGTCAAGTTGGATAATTAGACAGTTCCTCCCGAAAGACAAGTTAAGATCGATAATTAGCCTGATCATCACATGAGACAGGTCAAGGTCGATAATTAGACAGTTCCTCCCGGAAAACTATTGAAGGTCGATAATGAGACTGATCCTTACAGGAGATAGGTCAAGGTCGATAAAGGCGCCATCGTCATTCGTACTGTTGGGGCGGTCGGGTAGCCTAGTGGTTAAAGCGTTTGCTCGTCATGCCGAAGACCCGGGTTCGATTCCCGACATGGGTACAATGTGTGAAGCCCATTTCTGGTGTCCCCCGCCGTGGTATTGCTGGAATATTGCTAAAAGCGGCGTAAAACCAAACTCACTCACTCACTCACTTGTACTGTTAAATGTTAAAAGTTAGTTCATAAGTATTACGAAATCACTCTAGAGCGAGATGTGAAACAAGCACCAAATTTGGCACACAGTTATTTTGATTTGCTGTTAACATTTTTGGATATGCATATCCAAAAATGTTTGCAACATATTAAAGTAACTGTGTGCCACATTTGGTGCTTGTATCACAAAAAGCACAATTGGCTTGCTATGCCGCTGCCACCAATGTTAGATCGGGATATGACCCAGGTGACACAACAATGTTATCTTGAGTCAAGTTTGTTTATTCGGTTATATATTTGATAACAAGACATGTACGTGCGCAGCAGCACGCTCAACCAGACTAACGTCCAACCGTCATTCTCCCAGCAATATATAACCGAATAACAAACCCTGACTCGAGATATTACCGGTGTGTGATCTGGCCATATTCCGATCTGATAGTACCGACACCTCGCAAGCACTGCTTGGGCGTTTGGGGGATAACCTGATCTGCCTTTGATGGAGCTGAGGTGAGGTGAAATTGGGTTTAACGTCGCGTCCAAGATTAATGCACTTATGTAGCGACGTGCATGCACGTGTGTGTGTGTGTGTGTGGCTGCTTGTACTAGTCCAGACTGATGCCGATTTATAGTGCTAGCTCACTGAGATACCATGCCGCAGTTTAACATGAATACCCCACTCAGACACAGTATACTGACTCCGAGCCGACCAGTCCTTGTTTTAGCCCCTTAATGCCGAGCGCCAGACAGGGTAACATCAAGTACCATCTTTTAACGTCTTTTGGTATGACGCGGCCGGGGATCGAACCGCTCTCCGGGCGGACGCTCTACCACAAGACCACGGAGGCGGCGCCTTTGATGGACATATGAGAACATATACACGCGAATTAAAGCTGAGAAGAAGTGGTTTCACCTGGCTGTCTACAATTGCAGTCTAAGGTGCCGCGATTTGCTGTGCAGAGTTGCGTCCCTTGGGCACGCCAGAAACCTATGAATGTGGACACGAATCCCGGTTCAAATCCCGCCCCGATTATGTTTCTTGGTTTGTCAGTACCATACCCGTGCTCGTGGGTTTCACCGAAGTGGTAAACGTCTAAGACCTGCATCACTTCGGGCTTTCCTCCCACATTAAGCTGACACGCCGTGATATAACTTGAATACTGTTAAAAGTGGCGTTAAACCGAACTCACTCACTCACTCACTACAATTGCAGCGGGGATACTATTAGTGCAATTGTCTACGGCGCCGTGATGTATTGTGGGTCTCTTAGGACTTCCAGAATTCGATAATCTTGGGTTCGATTTCCAAATTCGCCACCATAATGATTCTTGATTTGCCAGCACTTGACGTGTGCTCGTGTTTTCTTTTTCCTAAAGTGCAAAACGTCAAAAACATGCATCACTTCCGGTTTTCCTCCCACCATCCTTCACTCGGTTACAGGTAGAGAATTCCTCCAGACAGACGATCTTCAGACGGGGAGGGAAGACAGGCTACGGCACGGTGCCCCCGGCAGCGTCTTACTTTGTCACGTTCATTAGAAAAACCGGGTCTTACTTCTATGGATTCCAAGCGACCTGGGCCGGTCAGTACTCTTTCTAATAACCTTTCTTGTCACATAAGATGAAAGTGGTTCCCTACTAATGTGAACAAAGACATAGTGAAACAGTGGCGGTGGCGTAGTCTAGTGGTAAGAACGGTCGCTCGACACGCCGAAGGTCTAGGTTCGATTCCCCACATGGGTACAACGCGTGAAACCCATTTCTGGTGCCCCGGCCCCCGCGGTGATTTTTCTGGAATATGGCTAAAAACGGCGTAAGACCATACTAAATACTTAATGTTGCTTTACTCGGCCACCATTTGCATTAATCAATCTTAATGCTGCTTTACTCGGTCTTCCTGTTGCATCACTCGGTCTTCATGTTGCTTTACTCGGCCACCTATTGCATTAATCAATCTTAATGTTGCTTTACTCGGCCACCTATTGCATTAATCAATCTTAATGTTGCTTTACTCGGCCACCTATTGCATTAGTCAGTCTTACTGTTGCTTTACTCGGCCACCTATTGCATTAATCAATCTTAATGTTGCTTTACTCGGCCACCTATTGCATTAATCAATCTTAATGTTGCTTTACTCGGCAACCTATTGCATTAATCAATCTTAATGTTGCTTTACTCGGCAACCTATTGCATTAATCAATCTTAATGTTGCTTTACTCGGCCACCTATTGCATTAATCAATCTTAATGTTGCTTTACTCGGCAACCTATTGCATTAATCAATCTTACTGTTGCTTTACTCGGCCACCTATTGTATTAATCAATCTTAATGTTGCTTTACTCGGCCACCTATTGCATTAATCAATCTTAATGTTGCTTTACTCGGCCACCTATTGCATTAATCAATCTTAATGCTGCTTTACTCGGTCTTCCTGTTGCATCACTCGGTCTTCATGTTGCTTTACTCGGCCACCTATTGCATTAATCAATCTTAATGTTGCTTTACTCGGCCACCTATTGCATTAATCAATCTTAATGTTGCTTTACTCGGCCACCTATTGCATTAGTCAGTCTTACTGTTGCTTTACTCGGCCACCTATTGCATTAATCAATCTTAATGTTGCTTTACTCGGCCACCTATTGCATTAATCAATCTTAATGTTGCTTTACTCGGCAACCTATTGCATTAATCAATCTTAATGTTGCTTTACTCGGCAACCTATTGCATTAATCAATCTTAATGTTGCTTTACTCGGCCACCTATTGCATTAATCAATCTTAATGTTGCTTTACTCGGCAACCTATTGCATTAATCAATCTTACTGTTGCTTTACTCGGCCACCTATTGTATTAATCAATCTTAATGTTGCTTTACTCGGCCACCTATTGCATTAATCAATCTTAATGTTGCTTTACTCGGCCACCTATTGCATTAATCAATCTTAATGTTGCTTTACTCGGCCACTTATTGCATTAATCAATCTTAATGTTGCTTTACTCGGCCACCTATTGTATTAATCAATCTTAATGTTGCTTTACTCGGCCACCTATTGCATTAATCAATCTTAATGTTGCTTTACTCGGCCACCTATTGCATTAATCAATCTTAATGTTGCTTTACTCGGCCACTTATTGCATTAATCAATCTTAATGTTGCTTTACTCGGCCACCTATTGCATTAATCAATTTTAATGCTGCTTTACTCGGCCACCTATTGCATTAATCAATCTTAATGCTGCTTTACTCGGTCTTCCTGTTGCATCACTCGGTCTTCATGATGCTTTACTCAATTTTCTTATTGCTTTTCCCGATCTTCCCATTGCTTTACTCCGTCTTCCTGCTGCATAACTCGGTCTTCCTGTTGCATAACTCGGTCTTCCTGTTGCATTGTTCGGTCTTCATGTTGCATTGCTCGGTCTTCCTGTTGCATTGTTCGGTCTTCATGTTGCATTGCTCGGTCTTCCTGTGGCTTTACTCGGTCTTCCAGATGCTTTACTCGGTCTTCATGTTGCATTGCTCGGTCTTCCTGTTGCTTTACTCGGTCTTCCAGATGCTTTACTCGGTCTTCCTGTTGCTTTATTTCATCTTCATGGGAGCTTTACTCGGTCTTCCTGTGGTCTTCCTGTTGCTTTATTCGGTCTTCCTGTGGTCTCAAGGTTGATTTACTCGGTCTTCCTTTTGCTTTACTCGGTCTACCTGTGGTCTTCCTGTTGCTTTACTCGGTCTCCCTGTTACTTTATTCGGTCTACCTGTTGCTTTACTCGGTCTCCCTGTTGCTTTACTCGGTCTACCCGTGGTCTTCCTGTTGCTTTACTCGGTCTTCCTGTGGTCTTCGTGTTGCTTTACTAGGTCTTCGTGTTGCTTTACTCGGTCTCCCTGTTGCTTTACTCGGTCTTCCTGTTGTCTTGCTGTTGCTTTACTCGGTCTCCCTGTTGCTTTACACGATCTTCTTGTTACTTTACACGATCTTCCTGTTGCTTTACACGATCTTCCTGCTGCTTTACGCGATCTTCCTGTTCCTTTACGCGATCTTCCTGCTGCTTTACGCGATCTTCATGCTGCTTTACACGATCTTCCTGCTGCTTTACTCGGTCTCCCTGTTGCTTTACTCGGTCTTCCTGCGGTCTTCCTGTTGCTTTATTCGGTCTTCCTGTGGTCTCCCTGTGGTCTTCCTGTTGCTTTATTCGGTCTTCCTGTGGTTTTAAGGTTGCTTTACTCGGTCTCCCTGTTGCTTTATTCGGTCTTCCTGTGGTCTTCCTGTTGCTTTACTCGGTCTTCGTGTTGCTTTACTCGGTCTTCGTGTTGCTTTACTCGGTCTCCCTGTTGCTTTATTCGGTCTTCCTGTTGCTTAACTCGGTCTCCCTGTTGCTTTATTCGGTCTTCCTGTTGTCTTCCTGTTGCTTTACTCGGTCTTCGTGTTGCTTTACTCGGTCTCCCTGTTGCTTTACTCGGTCTCCCTGTTGCTTTATTCGGTCTACCTGTGGTCTTCCTGCTGCTTTACGCGATCTCCCTGTTGCTTTACACGATCTCCCTGTTGCTTTTCGCGATCTTTATGCTGCTTTACGCGATCTTCATGCTGCTTTACACGATCTTCCTGCTGCTTTACTCGGTCTCCCTGTTGCTTTACTCGGTCTTCCTGTGGTCTTCCTGTTGCTTTATTCGGTCTTCCTGTGGTCTCCCTGTTGCTTTACTCGGTCTTCCTGTGGTCTTCCTGTGGTTTTCCTGTTGCTTTATTCGGTCTTCCTGTGGTCCCAAGGTTGCTTATCTCGGTCTCCCTGTTGCTTTTCGCGATCTTAATGCTGCTTTACGCGATCTTCATGCTGCTTTACACGATCTTCCTGCTGCTTTACTCGGTCTCCCTGTTGCTTTACTCGGTCTTCCTGTGGTCTTCCTGTTGCTTTATTCGGTCTTCCTTTGGTCTCCCTGTTGCTTTACTCGGTCTTCCTGTGGTCTTCCTGTGGTCTTCCTGTTTCTTTATTCGGTCTTCCTGTGGTCTCAAGGTTGCTTTACTCGGTCTCCGTGTTGCTTTACAAGATCTTCCTGTTACTTTACACGATCTTCCTGTTGCTTTACACAATCTTCCTGCTGCTTTACTCGGTCTCCCTGTTGCTTTACTCGGTCTCCCTGTTGCTTTACTCGGTCTACCTGTGGTCTTCCTGTTGCTTTACTCGGTCTCCCTGTTGCTTTACTCGGTCTCCCTGTTGCTTTACTCGGTCTCCCTGTTGCTTTATTCGGTCTACCTGTGGTCTTCCTGTTGCTTTACTCGGTCTTCGTGTTGCTTTACTCGGTCTCCCTGTTGCTTTACTCGGTCTCCCTGTTGCTTTACTCGGTCTTCGTGTTGCTTTACTCGGTCTCCCTGTTGCTTTACTCGGTCTCCCTGTTGCTTTACTCGGTCTCCCTGTTCCTTCACAAGATCTTCCTGTTACTTTACACGATCTTCCTGTTGCTTTACACGATCTTCCTGCTGCTTTACGCGATCTTCCTGTTGCTTTACACGATCTTCCTGCTGCTTTACGCGATCTTCCTGTTGCTTAACTCGGTCTCCCTGTTGCTTTACTCGGTCTCCCTGTTGCTTTACTCGGTCTTCCTGTGGTCTTCCTGTTGCTTAACTCGGTCACCCTGTTGCTTTACTCGGTTTCCCTGTTGCTTTACTCGGTCTCCCTGTTGCTTCCCTGTTGCTTTACTCGGTCTCCCTGTTGCTTTACTCGGTCTCCCTGTTGCTTTTCTCGGTCTTCCTGTTGCTTTACTCGGTCTCCCTGTTGCTTTACTCGGTCTCCCTGTTGCTTTACTCGGTCTTCCTGTTGCTTTACAAGATCTTCCTGTTGCTTTACACGATCTTCCTGTTGCTTTACACGATCTTCCTGCTGCTTAACTCGGTCTTCCAAATGCTTTACACGATCTTCCTGTTGCTTTACTCGGTCTTCCTGTTGCTTACTCCGTCTTCCTGTTGCTTTACACGATCTTCCTGTTGCTTTACTGTTGCTTTACCATGGACAATACTCCATACTGACATTTACCCACATGGACAATACTCCATACTGACATTTACCCACATGGACAATACTCCATACTGACATTTACCCACATGGACAATACCCCATACTGACATTTACCCACATGGACAATACCCCAAACTGACATTTACCCACATGGACAATACTCAATACTGATATTTACCCACACGGACAATACCCCATGCTGACATTTACCCACATGGACAATGCCTCAAACTGACATTTCCCCACATGGACAATACTCCATACTGACATTTACCCACATGGAAAATACTCCATACTGACATTTACCCACATAGACAATACTCCATACTGACATTTACCCACATGGACAATACCCCATACTGACATTTACCCACATGGACAATACCCTATACTGTCATTTACCCACATGGACTTTGTCCCAAACTGATATTTACCCACATGGACAATACCCCAAACTGACATTTACCCACATGGACAATACTCCATACTGACATTTACCCACATGGACATTACTCCATACTGACATTTACCCACATGGACAATACCCCAAACTGACATTTACCCACATGGACAATACTCCAAACT